CAGAGAGATGCATATGGTACCACCACTGGGTGTGGGTCTTGTCCTTGCAGCCTCCCAATGCCTACTCCTGCCCCTCTATTAGGTAGAATCTCCCCCTCCCCCCCATAGGGTCTGATAGCGTAGCTTATGCTAGCCTTAAACGTCAAGTGATCCTGCCTCAGCCTCCCAAGTGCTAGGCTGCACACAGGCACTGCCATGCACAACTTGCAGACTTGTTAGCACAGAGACACCCATGTCTTCAGCAAGCCTTTCTCTGAAGCAGGGGCCTCAGTTCACCGTAATTACTATGGTGTCCAAGACTTCAGTCAGCCCAGTTAAGAGGTATGCTTCCCAAGACAGGGGCATGGAGTCTGTGTCCCTAAGCTACTGTTAGCTGTCTCCAGGGGTGGAACTGGACAAGAGCTGTCCAGGTGTGTCTTCCTTGGAATAACATTACATTCCCTTGCCTTTTTTTTTTTTTTTTTTTCGAGACAGGGTTTCTCTGTGTAGCTTTGCACCTTTCCTGGATCTCTCTCTTTAGACCAGACTGGCCTCGAACTCACAAATATCCGCCTGCCTCTGCCTCCCGAGTGCTGGGATTAAAGGCATGCGCCACCACCGCCCAGCGCTCCCTTTCCTCTTGTGTGTCTGTATGTGTGGTGAGTATGCACATGTGTATACACACACACACACACACACACACACACACACACATGCATGTGTGTGCATATTTTTCTAGAGACCCAAGGTTGACATTGGGAGTCTCCTCAAAGGCTGTCCAATAGTTCATCAAGGCAGGGTCTCTCAGTTGAACCCAGAGTTCACCAGTACAGCCAGCCTGGCTAGCAAGCTTGTTCCGGGGATCCTCTATGTTTCAGTTACTGTTCTATCGCTGTGAAGAAACATCATGACCAAGAAAGCTTTTAAGCAGGGGTTTGCTTATAGTTTCAGAGGGTTAGTCCACGATCATCATGGCAGGAAGCAGACAGGCATGGTGCTGGAGCAGTAGCTGATCCAAAGACAGCAGAGAGAGAGAGAGAAAGAGAGAGAGAGAGAGAGAGAGAGAGAGAGAGAGAGAGAGAGAGAGAGAGAGAGAGAGAGAGAGAGAGAGACTGGCGAAACCTCAAAGCCCACTCTCAGTGACATACCCCCTCCAGACCCACACCTCCTAGTCCTTTCCAAACAGTTCATCAACTAGAGACCAAGCATGCAAATACATGAGTCTATGAGGGCCATTCTTATTCAAACCACCACACTTTGTCTCTACCTTACGAGTGCTGCTGGAATTACTGAACAGCTGCTACACCCACCTGGCATCTATGTGGGAACTGGGGGTCCAAACCCCCATCCTCACACAAGGTGAGAGTTTTAATCACTGGGCCATCTCCTCAACATGACAGTGCTCCTTGTAGCTGTCTAGATCATTTTTGAAACCCACCTCTATGCTTTCTAAGATGCTATAAAAAGCCGTCTAGTCTGTTAAGAGCTGTATAACATGAAGCAGCATTTCCCCGACCCCTGTGTTGGCTTCTGTGGCCTGCAGGGATAGGGACAAAGTTAACTGGAAGGCCTAGCTCTGGCTCAGCTCCCGTTACTGTGTCCCCCATAAAAGGGGCTTCACAGATCTCGATGGCCTTCAGGGTCACAGGTCACATGCTCAGCCTTCTCAGTGGATGGAGAATGGCCAACCTGAGTTCTTTCCTCTTGGCTTGGGCAAGCCCTGATCTTTGTACTTTTATTTCTGAGAGAATCAACCAGATGGGGTTAGGGGCTGTCCTCTGCATGGAACTTCTGAAATGCTTCTCTGTCTGGTTTATTCACCACCACCACCACCCCCTACCACCCCTGAGGACTTAAGGATAAAGCAATCGGCTCAGCCCTGGCTACACCAGATCATCACAATGGCCTCCAGATTTGGCTGGCCCAGGACGAAGTGGCCTATTAGCTATCTCAGCTCCTATTAGGAGCGTTCTAGCCTGGGGAGGCCATTTCTAGGCCAGTGGAAGGAACCCTGTGTGTGCTCGCCCAACGGCCCAGTTAATGCCCTAATTTCATAAAGAGCCCAGGGGATGGCTGCTCACACTTGTTGTTAGCAGGAGGATACCACATTCTTTCTTGAAAGCCCTCCTTCCACCCAACTTTTTTTTTTGGGGGGGGGGCACGTTGGTTTTGTTTTTCTTTTGAGTCAAAGAGTTTCACTATAGAGCCCTGACTGGCCTGGAACTCGCTATCTAGACTACAATGCCCTCAAACTGAGAGATCCTCCTGCCTCCCGAGTACTAGGAGTAAAGGTATGTGCCATGACACCCAGCATCTTTCACAAAACTTTCATCGCATGTCACTACTGTGGCCTAGCATCAAGACCCCTCCAGGCTACATCCTGCTTTAGAGAGCTGGGCGGGACATTCAGGAAGCTTCAAGTCCAGCTTGGGCAGGAGGGTGGGAACTAAGAAATCAGAAGATCCCTGTTGTAGCCCAGACAGGGACTCGGGTTCAGAACAGATGGTGTCTGGTTTTTTGTTTGTTTTTAAAGATTTATTTATTATGTATACAGTGTTCTGCCTATATGTTTGCCTGCAGGCCAGAAGAGGGCATGAGATCTCATTATAGACGGTTGTGAGCCACCGTGTGGTTGCTGGGATTTGAACTCAGGACCTCCAGAAGAGTAGTCAATGCTCTTAACCTCTGAACCATCTCTCCAGCCCCTTTGTTTTTTCTGATTGTTTGTTTTTTGTTTTTTATGGTGGGTTTTGGTTGTTGTTTTTGAGACAGGGTTTCACTATGCGACGTTGGCTGACCTGGAACTCATTCTGTAGAGCAGACTGGCCTAGAACTCACAGAGATCCTCCTGCCTCTTCCTCCCCAGTGCTTGGACCCACCACACCTGGCTAACAGATGGTATCCTGAGGCCTTCCAATCCGGGTCCAAGACCTGACTACCTCTAGGACCCATAGTTCCTCCAGGACTCACTTCCTCACCTCAATTGTTCCCTAGCTAACTTCCCCGAGTCCAGAGTCCTAGAGCTGGGTTAGGAGACATTAAGGCAGGTTGGGCCCACTGCCTACTGTCCTCAGCAACAGGAACTCCCCCAAGACCTGGGGCTCACCTGAGGGTTCAGATTGTCCCACTGGAGCCCAGTCAGAAACATTACCTCATCCCAGTGAATGTAGGCACCATGGAGCCTTCTGGAGGTGACCTTGTCTGCAGCCCCTGGAGTGGCTAGCCCCCTACTTTCTCCCTATTGTCACTGTACTCTCTGGTGGCTCTCCCAGACTCTCTCCTGCCACAAGGGGACACCCACAGTAACCTAAGTGTTAGGGTGCTCACCCAGTTACAGAAGCACACAAAAGGCCCAGGGAGGGAGGATACACACAGGTCCCAGGAAATATGACTGCCCTCCACCCTGCCAGGAAAAGCTGCCATCTGCCTGAGACCTGGTACCATTAGCCTTAAGCTCCCCACCCCTAAAATCCATAATAAATAATCTGCTCCCTAGCGTGCCCCAGTTCCAGAGATGCCACATGTTGATGCCCGTCAGGGGGCAGGGAAGCACGGTTACCCCATTTCACCGATGACACGAGGAAAACCTGCTGCGTGACTGATGGTCCTGGGAGTCCGAGGGACAGAGGGACCTTCTCTGTCCTTCGATCATAGTTGCAAGGTTCCAGGCCATCTCCTGAGCAGGCTGAGCAGTGGGGGCTCCTGAACTGTTTCAGTTCCTCTAACCCTGACCTATCTTGTTGTCCAGGTAAGGGCAGAATAGCCATTCAATAGAGCTCCAGCCCACAGAGGACCCAGAGTACTTGGCAGGGCAAGCCTGCCTTTCCGGAGCGCCAACCTAGTCTGCCCCTCCTCCAGAGGCTGCTGTTGCTGCCTGGGGCCCCCTGTCCAGGTTGCAGCCTGCAGCATTCGTCATAGGAAGGTCCCCAGGGTAGAGCTCCCCCAAGAGCTTGTGAAGTGTAACTATGACAGGAGTGACCCTGGGAAGTGAGCCGGGGAGGGAGGAGCTGCCCTGCGAAGTTGAAGGCAGGACTAGCCTACTGCAGCCCTATTACAGTCTCTGAGGAGTAGGCAGCTGGCTGATGGGCACAGGGCTCAGTCCTGTGGCTAAGGAAGTACTCTTCCTCCTCAGGGGTCCCAAAGGCCATGCAGCATCATCTAAGAAACTGGCCTACCCACCTCCCGAAGCATCAGGTTTTGCAGTGTGGAGGGCCACTCATGTCCAGTCCTGAGCAGATTAAAGGGTAGCTGTTTTGAAGTCATTACCTGGGAATGGGGGAAGGTACCAAGAAGGTAGCCGCGCTCTGGACTCCTGAGCCCCTGCCAGGAGAGGCTCATATCCGGGGATTCTGCAGGACGTTTCCTAGCCTACCATAAGTGGACAACACTGAAGGTCACCAGCACCCAGTGGGCTGCAAAGGCCACGGTGCGTAAGTGTTCTGCCCCCCTCCACACTTCCAGCTGGCTGGTAGCATAAGAGGGTCCTGACCAGAGAAGCCTCAATGGGTGGGGTATATTTTGCCCACTAGGGTCGTGGTCCCAGTGTCACAGGACAGTCCAAGAACCTAGCCAAGTGGGCAGCCAGCACAGTCCTAGCTGACCAAGGAAAGACTGGACCGGCCGCTGCATGTCCCACCCCAGGGGAGGCCTGCAGAGGCCGTGAGAGCAGCCCAGGGAACTCTTGGGGTCAGCCCAGCCCTGTGAAGGCGGTGCCAAGGCCCCAGGTGGCAAGAGTGGGCGGGGCGCCTGCCTGGGCTCCCCTGGCTCGGACAGCCCAGCCTCACTCCACACATCCCTCGGCCCTTGTCATCTCTGCTTTTGCTGTCTCCTTCAAAAGTAAGTCCAATGAACAGAACCCTCACACTGGGGGGGAAAAACAGACCCCAGGGCTCCGGGGTTTGACTAGGTGGACGCCCCCCGGTCTAATCCTAACTCCTGGGGACTAGGGCAACTGCCTCCGGGCCTCAGGGGCGGGGCGGCCGACAGATCGAGTCCAGCGGCGCAGGAGCGATCGCTGCGCGGCGGGGGGCGCGTCTGTCCTGCGCCGTGCGCGCCGCCCGCAGTGCCCGTGTGCGCCGCCGTGCGCCTGGCCGGGGGCGTCTCGGGGTGCACCGGCGGCCGGGCTCCGGCGGCGGCAGCAGCGCAGGTAGGGCCAGTGGTGGGCCATGCCCCCAGCCCAGGTGCTCCCATTCGTGGAGGACCCGCAGCTGGTCCTCCGCCCACGTGGCTGTCGGCATGTGTGGCGCGGGAGAACCTGGCAGGGTGGGGCGCTGTAACTTGGGGGTCTCTGGGAAAGGTACTCTGCAGGCGGCCGCGTACACCCGGAGATACTAGCCCATGCAACCTCTCACCCATTCCTTGCGAGCCCTCCCAGGACCCCTTTATGATGGGCAACTCTAGAGGTTGCACCATCACCGGGTCCTAGACGCTCCCCAAGGCCGGCTCAGCTGCAGTATCCCGGGATAGAGGCTCTGCCAGGCACAAGGTGCCAGACCCCTCTCAAGGTCGAGGAAGCTGTGATTGGAGGGAGAACCAGGGACTTGGTCTTCTGGAGCGCACCGAGACAGGGAGGAGCAAAGGGAGGCCCATTTTTGTGCCCAAACTGACAGTTCTCCCCAGTCAGGTCGGTGACGGCTGTCTGTCTGGAAACAGTGGTCTCAGGAGGCTACCCACCTCCCAAGTCCTGGCCTTACCGAATGCCTGTATCCCCAGACCTTCTGCACATACTCCACCCTACATGCAAATTGCAGCCAAATCCTCCCAGCCCCGAGATTAACTTGGCCTCTTTACCCATGCAAAACAGGCACCCAGGAGGGCCAGGCAGCACCCAGCCTCTCAGGGCCCTCATCCCACCCTTACACCCTACTCAGGGTCTGAGTTAGAAGTGGGACCAGAATGAGGATGGAGGTGGGGTCTGCTCTGGATACTCAGGAGTCCATCTTGCTGTCTCCCTGGGCAGGGATGAGGCTGTCCTACAAATCCAGGGCTGGGCCTTGTCAGGCTCATTTGCCCTGCCAAGAACGGAAAGTTTGCTCTACAGCTAATCAGCTCCACTGGGTAGAGGAGGCCCAGGGGCCTCGTTAGTAGGCCCCTGTGGAACTGTCCAGGCCTGGTTCCCCAACATCATCGCTGCAGACCTCAGGGAGGGCCAGTGGGTGGTATCGTCCGATGGGCAGCAGTCCCCAGGAGCAGGTGGAGTCTCCTCTGTCCTGGGGTCGGGGGTAGGGTTGCAGACCAAGCTCTTTTGCTTCTCTTGCCCACCAGCCTCAGGCTGGCTACCTCCGACGCCCCCGACGCCATGGAGGAGTGGGATGTGCCCCAGATGAAGAAGGAGGTGGAGAGCCTCAAGTACCAGCTGGCCTTCAAGAGGGAGATGTCCTCCAAGACGATCCCCGAGTGAGTGCCCTGTGATGTGTGCCCTTTGCCTGTCCTGCCACTGTCCCTTGTATCAGCCAGGGCCTCCCACCCCAGCGGGCAGGTGCCAGGGGAATGACCGACATTCACTGAAACCCCCTGCTCACAGGCTTCTCAAGTGGATCGAGGATGGGATCCCCAAGGACCCCTTCCTGAACCCTGACCTGATGAAGAACAACCCTTGGGTAGAGAAGGCCAAGTGTACCATCCTATGAGCCTGACCCACACTCTGTGTAAGGTGTGACTTTATAAATAGACGTCTCCAGGTGTCTTGGCTTTTGTACATTCCCTGTGGGAGTCAGTGTGATCTGATGTCCTGGGGCAGTGGGGCTACAGCAGGTCCCTGATGTACAGGCTGCGCCGCACAGCATTGGAGACACCTTCGTTGAACCGGAACCACACCTCACTCCTGCCCACTGCCACACCCATGCGCCACTCGTCTGTGTCCTTCTCTGGGGCCTCAGCCTCTGCAGGGACCAAAGGGTTGCACCTCAGCAGACAGATCCCAGTCAATGTCCCCACCCCACCCCACTTCCTTCTGTGACCCACACACACCTCTGCTTGGGACTGCCACTCTCCTGATGACCACACGTCCAAAGAAGTCCCTCTCGGGCTATCAGAGAAGAGGGGCCATCAGACCGGTAGGTGGGCAAGTGGGCACACCCAGGCCTTTCCCATGGGAGAGGAGACGTCAATGCCTCAGAGCAAGGCCCACATCTAGGAGTACTTCTCCTAACCCACTGCCCACTCCCTGGGAGCAACAGGTGGGGTCTTGGGACTTGGAGAAAGCCCTCCCCCACTCACCATTTTGCCCCAGCCCTACCCACCCCCCACCTGCTCCTGCACGACTGCTTTCTTCATGATGTGTTCCAGACGCTGCTCGTGGTTACGTGGGGCAGGTTGCCCCACCCCTTTCTCTCCGCGGTCCGTCCGCAGACACGCAGGCCCTGAGGGACCCTCGTCCACCTGAAGAGAAGAGTGATGAGCGCTGGCTGGTCAGGGCCAAACCACTGATAGAATATGCTAGCTCAGCACCAGGGGGGCAAGCTTACCTGAGGGCCGCCTCCAGCCCAGGCCAAAGCCTCTGCCCGCCGCATCTTCTCCATTTCAATCTCCCGGGCAATAAGCTGCTTAGCCTGGTAGGTGAGGGGCTTGCGTGCAGGCAGCTCAGGGAAGCGGCAGACCTCTTCCACATTCCTGACCGGGTGGGTGAGGCAAGGTATCAGGGTACCGGTCAGCAGTGCCAGGGTCTGCCTCTTACACCAGCCCCACAAACCAAGGTCGAGACCTTGGGTGTGGGAGACCCTGACACTACTACATCCTAACCCAGTGGTGGCCGAAGACTAATTACTTTAACCCTCAGCTCCCCCACCTAGAAGTGGGAAGACATAGAACATGCAGAGTGCTTCAGGGAGGAAGTAAGACCAGGCGGGAACACTGCGGGCCTCACTGGCACTGCAGGATGCCAGGGTCACTGCTGCTGTGCCTCAAGCCACTCTAGGCCTCTGGAGCCCCCAGGAGCAGCAGACACAAAGACATAGAAGACTGTCCACCTTTGGATGGACAGAGGTTATATGAACCCTACACTGAAATCTGGATCTCAGAACTATGTCTGACCTGGGGTGGGGCACAGTGCCAGCCACAGCTGTGCCAAACCTAACCTGCAACCAACAACCCCTTGGACGCCTCACCAAGACCACACTGGCTTTGGCACCCCCGTTGCAAGTCCCCAGGTGGTCCCCCTGCCCCAGGCACAAGGGCACTCACGGCTCCAGCCTGTAGAAGTATTGCCCATCAGGTGTGCGCTCCTGGTGGTAGGTGAGACTGTAGGCAAGCATGGTACCCACAAGGCTGGACAACTGCTGCTTCTCACGGGCACTGTACAGCTGTGTGCTCACCTAGGGTCAAGCGGGCAAAGAAGGGGCAACTGAGCGATGCCAGGAGCCACCTCAGCCACAAACTCCATCCTTTCCTCCAAATCTGACACTCACAGGGCGCAGCTTGGGTGCCAGGACATCCAGGAGCAGGCAGAGGGTATCCAGAACAAGCGCCTGAGGTGTGGCCCTGCTCCGGGTGGCGGGTGCCATACCTGACACCAAGGTCTGGAGGTGGTTCTTCGTCTGGCTCATCCGGGTCTGGGCCTAGGACAGAAAGTTAGCTCAGGCCAGGGCAGTAGAACCCCCCCTGGGCCCAACCCTAAGTACAAATGCAGCCGATGAGGACACACCTCCTGCTGGCTGCTGGGGAAAGTGATGCGTGGCACGTGGCTGGAGGCGAAGAGCACGTGGAAGGCGGCAGGCAGGAAGGGCAGGTAGCGCAGCAGCTGGAAGCTCTGGCCATGGTGGGCAGCCTGCTCCAGCAGGTCATCAAAGGCCAGCCAGTCAAGGGCACAGCACACGGTCCCTAGGCTGGAGTCCCGAAGCCGGAGGCGTAGGAAGTTGTCAAACAGGCCCTAAGGGTAGCGAGCAGGCCATGAACCCCCTGCAGGAGCGGGTAAGGCCCGGAGCCTCTGACCCCCTCATCTTCCCACAGCGTGAGTATCAGCCTCAGGATCCTTTCTCTAGCTCCTGCTCTGTCAAGTCCAAGGTGTAGGGATCAGCTGCCTATCCAGGGAAGGATCTACTTGTCTAAGAAAGACCCTGAGACAAGGGGGAGGGGATGGCCCACCCACCTGCCTCTAGAGGCTCACACGGTCCAGTCCCCAGCCCCTCCCTGAAGTGGCAGAAAGCTATGTCCTCGGAAGCCAGGGCACAGCAGCCCCCTGCTTGGCCCGTGGGAGTCCAGTTCCCACTGGCCACACCACATAGCCCCTCCAAACCGCAGATTTCCAGATTGTCCGCGGATTCCCAACTGCTAATCCAAAGCTGCTTAGAGTTGAAAGCAGCTTAAGCCAGGCCTCTGGGGAGTGATGGAGGCTATGTCATCTGCTCAAGTCCAAACCTCTCACTACCTGCTTTCCACACCACGTGCAGCCTCCATCTAGAATTTAGTGTCTCTAAGCCCCAGACCCCAACATGTACCTCACAGGGATCCCTAAATGGTTCCCAGCCACCAGACCAAAATTTACCCTGAGATGCCTAAGCTCTCTGCCTCCTGTAACCTCCAAATTTATCCCTGCAGTTACCCTCCTGGGTCTGAGGGTCCTTCTTGCGGCCCCTGTCCTTAATCCTCCCATCCCCTTGGATGCCTGACACCTATCCACCCACACCCCTCACTCTGGAACAGACCCAGGGCATCTTCTGTTAGTACCAGACTCATAAGAGCTGGGGTGAGCACGGTACCTGGACAACCTTCTCATGCTCGCCTGCAGAGGTAGTCACACGGAGGATATGGTAGAAGCGCTGGGAGGCCAGGGTCAGGGAGCCCTTGTCCCCGTCACTGAGCAGGAGAGCCTGAGTTGGTAGGATCAGGTCCTGGCCCACGAGTCGCCTGCAAGCAGAGGGTGCTGAGGCTGGGGCTGAGCCCAGCTGAAGGCAAAGATGCCACCAGCCATCCTAGCCACACCCTCTATGTTCAGAGGGAAGCCTTGGCTGGCCTGTCTTACATCACTCTGAAGGAACAAGAATCTCTACGCAGAGCCAACTCTGCTCTGACTGACTAAAGGAAGGTCAGGGAAGGTCACCCTCTGGGGCCACAGATTTAGGAGGCTCTAGGCAACTCCCCTTGGGAAATTAACTGGGCCCCCAACCCAAGTCAGGTCCCTACCCACAGGACACAACTGAGACCAAACGGCTACCCTGGAGCCCTGGCACTATCAGGTTGTGTCTTGGCTCTAGGCACCAGGAGCATCCAGAACAAGGCTGACCCACTCATACCTCCTGGACTACCTACCTTTGAGCCCTGGGCAACTGGAAGACCTCTTGCCACACGGAGAATAGCCCCTTGCGCTGGTCCTTCAGGCCAACGTGGGTGGTCTGCACGTCCCTCACGCTCAGCTCCCGCCGGCCCCTCCCATACAGAAACTGGACAAAGGGCTGGAGTGAGCAGCAGCCATCTCACCCCACCCTGCCTCAGCCGAGCCGTGCACCCACCTGGAGGGTATTGATACAGGCACGGATATCGTTTTCAGTCTTCTCACAGAGGGCAGCTAGTGCACCCGGGTCAGATCGCATGCCATGTTGCAGGGAGATCTAGGGGCGGGGCAAGCACCAGAGTGTCTACCACCGTCGCCGAGAGGACCCACGCCCAGTCTAGCACATCCTCGGAGCCAACCCTGTGGCCACAACCCGGTTCCCTGGACACAGGCCAACAGTCCTGTGCTGGGGCGGCCAGAGAGTGCAGTTCCGTTCCTGCAACAGGCCTGTACTACACCCTGACAGTCAACGCCACAGCCAGTGTGAGAGCACCAGGGAGCTCACGGGGAAGGAAGGTGGGAAGGGAGGTCAGGAGAGAGGCTGCATCTCCCACTGGAAGCTGGCTCCCTCCCTGCCCTGCTGACCTCCTGGAGCCGCTGCACCAGCCTGGAGGGCAGAGTTGGCGGAACGTGGAGCAGGAAAGCCTGCTGCTTCAGCTGCCTCAAGGAAGGTGTAAACCTGTAGGACAGGACCTGCCGTCGCCACACCAGGGACAGGCACAGGGGTCAAGCCAGGAGACCCTCTGCCCAGGAAGGCCCAGTCCCACCACTGCACTCACTGGTCATTGCAGATGCAGATGATGGGCCTTGTTAGGAGGCCCCCCTCGGCCCTGCGTCGCCGACCCCCTGCAGGTACAGCTGTGCCCCCTTGCTCTGCCTCCTGTGGACCCTTGCGATTCAAGATACTCAAGAGAACATTGATGGCGGCCTTCAGGGAGACACAGAAGAGGTCAGTGAGCCAAAGCCCCGGTGCACCCAACCTGCCTTCCTACCCACCCCAGCAGCAGGGAGGCCTACCGTGGGAGCCCCGTCGATTTCATCAATAATCAGGCAGTTGGGCCTCCCACCTGCACCCAGCACCGACTCCATTTGCGTAGCCGCTTCAATGCGTGTACGGAAGGCCTCAGGACTACGGTCATCACTGGAATAGCAAGGCCAAGACGAGTGATGGGTAGCAGCCAGCATCCCAGCAGGACGCTATGAGGCTCCCACTGGATTTAGCTACCACCAAGCTCAGTAAGCAATGAAGGACATGTCCCACATCCAAGACCCTAGCCCCACCCACCAGCCAGGGTTTTAGAGCTGCACCTAGGCTCAGTCTCACAGAAGCCCCAGACATGGGTCTTCTCCTCCACTCACCTTGCATTCATCTCAACCACGCAATACCCTGCATGCCGGGCAACCACATGTGCCAGT